CCGTCTCCCCCCAAGCCTGGTCCAGCTGCCCCCACCCCTCCCGAAGGAGCAGCCAAGCTGGGACGGGAGCCCGGTCCCCAGTGCCTGGCTGGGGCTGTGCGTTACCGCTGACACAGGCAGAAGAGTTGCCTGGGTGTGAGTCCCCTGTGCCGCAGCACCTGGCCACTCCGGAGCACCTCTGCAATGAGTTCTGCCTGGTCTCAGACCAGACAAGGAGCAGCTACCCTGGGAGGCGGGCACCGAGCTGGGTGCTGGGGACACGGAGGTGCTGATGCCAGCCCCGGCTCTTCCCGCAGTGGCTGTGGACACGACGCTGTGTGTGGAGTGGAAAGAGGTGAAAGCGCTGTCTCCGCTGAGTGCCGCTCGCCCGCTGCCCCGCCTGGTGCGCCAGGCCTCCTTCGACAGCCAGGACTTCCTCCAGGTACCCCAGTACCTCACAGCAGGACACCCTTCCTGGGGTTTTGGGGTGCGCGGGGCCCTGCTGCCCCCCAGTCCCCTGGCCGCTTGGACCCGACAGCTCGCAGCGGCTTGGGGCTGCTCTGACGTCAGCCACGAGCTGGGCTGTATCCTGGGAGAAATCAGTCCACGGTGCCTCGTTGCCATGGCAATGCAATTTGTTGCGCGCCTCCAAATCCTGCATTGCTTCCCCCGTGGCCATGGGCTCAGGGCCTGGCATGGCTGGGACAGGCAGCAGGGACAAGCAGCAGGATTGGGATGCTCTGGCATGGCAGTGGCCTTGCATGAGCACACATGTGCTGGGGAGGACACTCAGCTGCCCCAGCTAGCATGGACCATGCTCATGGGTGTGCGTGCTCACAGGTACAGGTTACGTGTGTGTGTGTGCACAGTGAGCACATGTGTGCGTGCAGTGAGTTCATGTGTGCGCATGGTGAGGAGGGCCCTGTGTGTGTGTGTTTGCATGTGTACGAGCGCCTGTGTGTGTACATGTGGTTACATGAGCAGGCATGTGTACACCTAGCATGTCTGTGTGTGCACGTATAAGGGTGCAGCATATGGGTGTGCTACCATGAGAGCATGCACACAGGCACAGGTGTGTGTGTGTACCTGCTGCCCTGCCTGTACTGGCTGTGACCATCCCTCTGCACACAGACACACATGAGCCTGCAGCACACGTGTGTGCACAGACAACCCAGCTGCAGGGGGTGGGCACCAAGCAGGGCTGAGCCCCTTCCCAGGGCACAGGGTTTGGTGGCGGTGGTGGTGGCAGGCAGCGGGCAGGGGGGGTGGCTGGGGACTGTGACATCCTTGTCTGCCCTGGCAGGTCAATGTTGAGGACACTGTCGAGATGCTGCCCAAGTCACGGCGCGCGCTGACCATCCAGGAGATTGCTGCCCTGGCCCGCTCCTCTCTGCACGGTAACTGCTCGCCTGGCCCAGGGTGTGGGGAGCCTGGGGGTTCACCCAGGGAACGGGGGGTCTCCTACGGGAGAAAGGTCTGTGCCTCTTGGGAAGGGCATTGGAATTTGGGGGCTCAAGGTGTCCCTCGGTCCCTGGTGGTACCCAAGAGGAGGGCACGGGGCTGCCAGGTCCGAAGGGCAGTAGATGGGGGTGGTTCATGGACTTATAGAGGGCACTTGGAGCGCTCAGGGAGTGCTGACGTGCGTGGGGGCACATCTTGCAGGCATCTCGCAGGTGGTGAAGGAGCATGTGACGAAGCCAACGGCCATGGCACAGGGCCGCGTCGCCCACCTCATCGAGTGGAAGGGCTGGTGCAAGCCAGTGGAACCACCCACTGCCCTGGAGAGCGCCTTCAACTCCTACTGCCACCTGAGCGAGGGCGAGCAGGAGGCGCGCTTTGCTGCTGGTGGGCATCGTGTGCGGCATGGCTGGCGGGCACGCTCCCCCACCGTGGCCAAGGGCAGGGCTGGTGGGGTGGGTGGTCCCCATCCATCCCTCCATCCATCCCTCCATCCATCTCTCCATCCCTCCACCCATCCCTCCATCCATCCCTCCATCCATTCCTCCATCCCTCCATCCATCCCTCCATCCATCCCTCCATCCCTTCATCCATACCTCCATCCATCCCTCCATCCATCCCTCCATCCATTCCTCCATCCCTCCATCCATCCCTCCATCCATCCCTCCATCCATTCCTCCATCCATCCCTCCATCCCTCCATCCATCCCTTCATCCATCCCTCCATCCATCCCTCCCTCCATCCCTCCATCCATCCCTCCATCCCTCCATCCATCCCTCCATCCATCCATCCATCCATCCCTTCATCCATCCCTCCATCCATCCCTCCATCCATCCATCAGTGCACTGTGGGCACAGAGCCGCTGGGGCAAGGGTATTTTGGGGCACCTTCTGGTGTGTGTGTGACCTGTGCTTGTCCCATGTCAGGCGTGGCGGAGCAGTTCGCCATCGCTGAGGCCAAGCTGCGCGCCTGGTCCTCGGTGGATGGGGATGACTCCAATGATGAGTCCTACGATGAGGACTTCATGCCGTCCACAGAGAGCTCCCAGCCCACTGGTAAGTGCCATGGGAGTGGGTACCCACTGGGTGGGCAGGATGTCCTGCTGTTGGTGTTGGTGTCTCGCTGCTGGTGCCAGGGGTTGAAAGAGTAGGATGCCCATGCCTGGCCACATTCCCCAGCCCGGCCACCCCATTTTGCAGCCATGCCCCTGCCCTGCACCATGGCGAATGACACTCATGCCAGGGATGCGAAGCCCTGCACCGTCCCCAGTGCCAGAGCACGCTTTGCTTTTCCTGTGGCGGTCACCAGTGCCACACACACAGCAATCTGTGGGAAGAGGAGGCACGGTGCCTGAGAGGGTGCTCCCACCCCCTGGGGCACAAGATGGGGGGCAGCTGGCACCCCCAGTGTACCAACCCTGACTGACCCCGAGCATCCCGGTTCCCTGCAGAGCTGCCCGGCTCAGTGCCCGCCAGCGCGCTGCTGCGAGACCTGCTGCAGGGCCACCTGTGCCAGCTGGGCGTGCGGCACGGCTCCTGCGAGCCTGAGAGCGACTCCTCGCACACGCTGTCCCCCGAGACTCTCTGCTCCAGCCTCTGCAGCCTGGAGATGGTGTCCCCCTCTGAACTCACTGCCAAACTGCTGGGCTCCCTGGGCGGCGAGGACCTGCTGCTGCCCAAGCTGCCCCCCCCGGCCAGCCAAAGTGCCTTGCGGGGCCTGGCACGGCTCCGGTGCCAGGACTCCTTCTACTCTGTGTCCTACGCCGAAGCCTGCCTCTCGCCAGCTGAAGACGAGGTGGTGCTGAGCAAGGACTTCCCGCTCCGACGGAAAGTCTCCGACGTCGCATCCTCCGGGGTGGCATCGCTGGAGGAGGAGGCCGAAGAGCCCTGATCCCCCCCCGGGGTGCCCTGCCTCTCCCGGCAGGGGTGCACCCTTCTGCCGGACCCTGTGCTGGGCAAGGGACAGCCCTGCTGCTGCGCCCCCTCACTATCCGGGCACAGGGGGGTTTTGGGGGGCTGCTGCAGGCCCCCCGGCCGTTGTGCCCCCTCCCCGCTTGGCCATATCGTTGCCCTCCTGGATTTTTGCATGAGAGTGGGGAAGGGGCACAGGGAAGGGCTTGGTGGGGTCCGACCCCCACCCTGATGCCCAGACGTGCCCCCTAAAACTGACAGGACTGAAACAGTGGGGCTGGTTGTTCGCATGTTCCCCCCCTCAGACCACCCCCGGCTCCCCTTTTGAGCACGGGTTCCCCACTGGTGTGGCTGAACCTCTCCGAGCATCCCGTGGTGCCCCTGCCCCATGCCTGCACCCTTGGTTGGGGCGGCGGGGGGAATGTGGGGAGCGGGGGAATTCCTCCTCTCTCCCCAGCCAGCTTACATCAGACAGTTTTAAACTGTGAACTGCTGCCTCGGGGCCGGGGGAGGGCCGGGGGCTGCGGGTGTGCCATGGTGCCAGGGTTTCTATACTTTTGTACGTGTGTGGGGCTGGCACAGGAAGGCTGCAGGGCCGAGTGGGGGCATGGGCATGGGCCCCAGGCTGGGGGCTTTGGGCCATCTGTGGCAGCACCCTCAACCCAGTCCCGCGGCAGGGGGCTCAGCCCAGCTGGGGCCCCCCAGGTCTGCTGAGGGGCAATGTGGGGTGGAAGTGGGAAGGGGCAGTGGGACCGACATCCCTGACCCCGAGTCACTCCCCCCTAGCAGGGAACCAAGTGCCTACATGAAGGGCGACCATTCCCCCTGTCCTGATCAGGGTGGCACCCTGGCCTGGGGGCCCCCCAGGGCCGTGCCGGGGATCCGAGCACGCTGTTTGGGGGAGGAATGCTAGTTTTTGCCAACGCTTGTGCCCCCCTTCCTGCATGACGTGTGTTCTTGTAGGGCCGCTTGCCTGCTGCATGCTGCTCCTTGCCCATGGCCACAGCACCCCTGGCCCTGCACCCCCGGGTGCCCCAGCACCCACTCCAGCTCTGCTCCTGTGTGCCCCCCGGGATCCCCATCAACCCCTGCCAGGCACAGCACGCATTCCCCCTCCCCACCGTGGGGTGCCCGGCATGGGTCTGGCTCCCCTCTCCCTGCATGGCCAAGCTGTGAGGGGGTGCAGGGGCCAGCAGGCCTGATGCCATGCTGATGGGCTCCCTGCCATCACCCTCTTTCTGCAGACAGCAGATGCTCCCTGTGGCGCTGGGATGGGCTGTGGGGTACGGGGTGCCTGCAGATGGGTGCGGGGCCTTGCTCTGTGTGTGTGTGCGCATGTGCACATCTGGAGTGTACATGCACGAGCACATGTGCACAGCAACCTGAGCACCCACCTCGCTGCGGCGGCACCCGTGGGGTGCCCACCCCGGCACCCCCTCCTCCATCCCACCACGTCTCCAATAAAGTCCATTGTGCGAGTGCTGCGCCAGGTGCCTCTTCTTGTGGGTGGGGGCACATCCTCGGGGGGGGCAGGCTGGCCCTGGTGGCAGCCACACATCCCCTCCTTGGCCCCACGGGGCCTCAGCCTTTATCTTGCATTCCTGGGGCCAGGGTGCCTAATTATAGGCATGTGTCAGTGTCGGTGGTGGCGGCCCCCTCCCTGCGGCCAGGCCCTTGGTGGGCACAGGCAGCAGGAGCCATGGCCTCGCTCGGCTCAGCCTCCTCGTACCGCACCGAGCGCATCGGCACCTATGGTCCAGGGCATGGCGAACCCCGCTTCGAGGGCGACCGGCGGCACGGGCCCTTTGGGGCACTGGCACATGAGGCCTTCGGGTTCCCAGGTACTGGGGATGGGGGGTGGGAGGGCTACGACAGAGTTACCCACTGCCATGTGCTGGGCACACATGGGACCCCTTCCCCAGCACAGACTGGGGTGACTGCCCCTCAGGTGCCCCATGGCTCTCTGGACTGTCCTCCAGCCCTCCCAACCCCCCCAAGCCCACGATACCCTCAGTGTCCTTGTTGTCCCCTGACCCACTGTGCCTCCAGCTTCCCCTACCCAGAGCCCTCTGTGGCCCCTGGTAACTCCCCACTTTCCTGTACATCCCCATATTAAACCCATTGCCCCCCAATCCACTCTCCCTAGGTTGTCCTGTTTGTCCCCTGTGTCCCCAGCCTCCTCCACTGCTCCTCTGCTGTCCCCAGGTCCTTCAGTGACCCCGGATCCCTCGAGTTCCCCCAGAAACGCCATGGCCTCCTGCTAATGCTGGACCACCCTATACCCTCATACACATGGGAGTCCCTGCTCCCCCTGCAATCCCCCCAGCATCTCCAGTGGTCCCAGACCCACAGTGCCACCTGCCACCCCCAGCCTCCCCCCCAGTGGCACCTCCTTCCCATAGCCGCCAGTGTCCCAGCCCTTAGGCCCCTTGCCCCCGTGCCTGGCAGCCCCCTGATGCCCACAGGGTCCCCCGGTGCCGTGTGCCCCTGCAGCCTGGGCACCTGGGTGCGTGCCCAGGGTGACACCTACCAGGTGGTGGCCGACGTCAGCCAGTTCGAGCCCCCTGACATCGTGGTGACCACCTCCAACTGCCACGTCGCCATCCAGGCTGAGAAGGTGAGGCACGCCAGGGCGGCAGCATTCCCACCCCCTGGCCGTGGAGTGATGGGGGTCCTGCACCATGGCACTCACTCCTGCAGGGGTGGTAACTGCGAATGGCCCCTGCTGGTACTGGGGTAACTGGGAACTCCGGCCCTGTTGCATTCTCTGTTGGTGGGGGCAATTGGGAAAAGCCCCTGGTGACACTGGGGTAAATGGAAATTAACCCACCCCCACAAGGCTGAGGCAAGTGGGATCTGCAACGGAGTAACTGGGAATTGTCCTTGAGTCACTGGTAACTCTGCCCCGTTGAGCTCCCTGCTGGAGCTAGGATGACCGGGAGCTGCCACGCTGCCAGCACTGGGGTAACTGGGAATGTGCTGTGTACCACCATGCTGTGCCCCAGGCACTGGTGCTGCCTTCCCACAGGTGGCCGAGGACGGCACTGTCTGCGACACGTTCACCCACAAGTGCCAGCTGCCTGAGGACATGGACCCGCTGTCGGTGAGCTGTGCCCTCACGGAGGCCGGCACGCTGGTGATCACCGCGCGGCGCCGTGCCGCAGCCCGCCCCAGCGAGCCCCCGCAGATGCTGTACCGCAGCGAGGCCACGCTCTGAGCAGCGCCGGGGGAGGATCGGCTTCTTGCCCCAAGCGATGCCAACCTCGGCACCGTGGTGTAGCTTTGGTTGTGCCCATTGGCCATGCCCAACCCCACCTCCAGCTCCTCAGGGCTCTGGCTCTGTTTATAAAGTCCTTTTATTAAATTAATATAAAAATCTCTGTATTTACACGGGGAGGACGCACAGCAGAGAGGAGGCAGGATCCCCTCTTCTCAGCTATGAAGTGCTGAGGAGAGAGGCAGTGCCCACCTGTGTCCCTGTGGGCACCCTGGCCTGCTGCCCCTCTGCCCCCTGTGCTACCCTGAGCAGGGACAGTGTGGTGCCCGTGGTGGGGGGTGAGTGCAGTGGCTGTGCCGGGGGGCACCAGGGGCTGGGGGGGCAGAGGTAGTGAAGTGGAAAGCCCCAAGAGCTGGCAGGGGGTGGGGGGCAGAGGCAGGCTGGAGGGCACCCAGCCAGCCCCTGGCACAGGGAGAGGGCAGTGGTTCTCGATTGAGGGTGCCACCCCTATGACAGGCTTGGCACAAGAGGGCATGGAGCAGGTGCCAGGGGCCCTGGGGACAGGGGGGTGGGCACCCCCATCTCACTGTGCCTTGGGGTTGTCGTCATCATCATCATCACCCCCGGGACTGGCCTCGCGGGGCATGGGGTGGTGCTGGTGGCGGTCCCAGAGCTGGTGCAGGGCGGTGGTGTCGGGCTCGCCGGCACTGGCGGTGCTGTCACGGAAGCTGGCGAGTGGTGGGCGCACCTTCACCCCCTTGGCTGTCAGTGAGCCCTCGATGGCCTTGCGCAGCTGCGGGCACCCCAGACGCATGGGCAGGTGTCCCTGGGTGCCCCCTTCTGCCCCTCCAGCCCCACACCAGTCCCTGCTCACCTCCTTGAGGGACACCATGCCCACCAGGCGCCCGATGCTGGTGACATACGCATGGTCCAGGCCCAGCAGCGAGAAGATGGTGTGGGTCTGCAGGGAAAAGGGTCTGAGCTGGGGATCTGGGAGGTTAGGGAGAAGGTCCAGGGAGGCACAGGCGCACCTTGTGCAGTGAGGTGTGCTCCACCAGCTGGAATGGTGCAGGGTCAATCTTGGCGCTGCTGAAGTCCACCAGCTGGTCCAGCTGCTGCTCTTCCCACTCCAGGATCTGGGGAGGGATGCCATGGGGCAGGGTGAGGCGACTTGGCCGCACAGGATGCCAGTGAGGACCCTCCCCTGCACTCAGCATTACGGGGATACTGGTGCTGCCCATGTCCCTGCCCACCTTCTGTCTCAACACCCCATTGGTCCCCTGCGGGCAGGAGGGTCCTGCCTGCCCCTGCCCACCCCCTCACCTCCGCCGGGGTCATCCTGTCACCCAGATCCATCTCCTCCTGCAGAAGAGGCGAGCGTGAGCAGCCCGGCAGGGCAGCAGGCAGCATGACCGCACACCAGCCACAGGCAGGGAGCAAGCAGGGTACAGGCAGGAGCAATGGGGCTGCAGCAGCATGGGTAGGGTGCAGGCAGCACGTGCAGGCCAGGTAACATGATTGGTTGAGAGAACATAGGTCACACCACAATTGGCTAAGGTGGGACAAGCCAGCTTGTGATTTGTGGGGAGAATGCAGGTTGTGCCGTGATTGGCTGAGCAAAGTGGGGCAAATAAGACAGCAGTGACCGCCTGAGAGGGTTCAGGTCACACTGTGATTTGCCAGGAAGTTTTGGGACTGGGAGGATGCACACTGTGATTGGCTGAGAAGAATCAGGGTGGAGCGATTGGCTGCGCGCACAGAGGCCGGACATGATTGGCCAAACAGAATTTTGCCAGGCCCCTGATTGGTTCTGACAACCCGTGCCGGGCTCTGATTAGAGGAACCACGCCCAGCCTGCTATTGGCTGCAGCTTACCACGATGGACATGCGGACGTGTTTGGCCTTGCGATAGGCTGTGCCCTGGGCCTGGCGCCATGTGGGAGAGACAGCGGTGTTAGGGCATGGCAGGGTGGTACCATGGCAGGGATGGAACAATGGCAGTTCTATGTGCCATGGGCAGGGATGGGCAGGAAGGGGCAAGGACAGGCAGGGATGAGGACTGGTGGGCAGGGATTGTGAAGGGGTGTGAAGGGATGCAAAGGGACTGGAGTGATCGGAAAGGATGGCACTGGGTAGAAAAGGCCAGGCAGGGCTGGGCAGGGCCATACACTCACCTCAGTGGGCTCTGTGGTGGGGTTGGCACAGAATAGGCTCTTGAGGGCGATGCCGGAGTGGTCAGTGGTGCCAGCTGTGGGTGGGGAGGGGTGTCAGTGGGGGTCACAGCAGGTTCGGGGAGGGCCTGTGCTGACTCACCTGGGGGGCTCTCGGCTGGGCTGCTGGGCACCCTCTTCAGAGCTGGCTTCAGGGGCTTGCGGGGGGTGGCGTGGGCAGGGGTGCTTGACGAGGCCTCCGTGCTGATCTGTGGGGGAACGGGTGGTGGGGCACAGCGGTGGGGGCACCCTGGCCAAGCAGCCCCCACGGCGGGCACCCCCCTCACCTGGAAGCGGATGCTGGCATCGGACAGCCGGTGCCCATTCTCAGCCAGCGCCTTCTGCTGCAGGGCCTGGAGCCGGCGCTGGGGGCTGAGCTGGTGGCTGAGCAGGGCCCCCACCTGCGTCCGCTCAATGGAGCCCAGCAGGATCATGGACTCTGATGGAGGCAACGAGGGGCCACGTTGGCTCCTGATCCCCTCTTTGCCATCCCCACACACATCCCACGGCTGGGGCAGGCGCCAGCAGAGCCCCCTGCCCACATCTCACCCGCTGACTCCACCAGCGGCAGGCTCTTCAACTTGGTGCTGTGCAGAACGTGCTGCAGGTCTCGGTACTTGCAGTTGAGGGTGACGTAGCGGATGTCCCGCACCATGATGTCCTCCACCCGCACATTGTACTTCCTGCCCCAGGAAGGTAATGGTGGCCTCGCTGCGATGCCAGCCCTTACCCCTCTGCCTGGTGAAGGGCTTGGGGACAGAGCAAGGGGACACACACTTACTCGTGGTGGCCCCAGCCCAGCTCAGGGAGGTAGGGCAGCTTCTTGATGCGGATGATGCTGTCGTAGAGGGAGGGCTGGAGGCTCTGGGCCACGGCGTTGGCCAGGATGACGGCGATCATGACAGGCAGGATGTGAGAGATCTGCCCCGTCAGCTCAAAGACGATGACGGCTGTGGACACCGTGTGGGTGACGGCGCCCGACAGCGCAGCTGCCCCTGCATGCATCCCGAGAGACAGAGGGGCGACTGTGAGGTGCTGCCTGCCAGGCTGGGTCCCCACCCCATGGCCATCCACCAGTCCAGAGCCCTTGGGACCTCCCGGGACATCCCCATGGTGGTGTCACTCCCAGCCCGTGGGGATAGCACCTCAGCCCTGGGGAACCCACCAGCTCCGTTGGAGGTTGCCCAAGGGATGCCCACCACGGTGCCCCTGTGCCAGCCCAGTGCTTACCCACCACGGCGTAGCCCCCCGGCACAATGCGGTAGGTGTTGCTGTCAGTGTGGATGCCATCGGGGAACCAGGCTGCCATGCTCTCCCCTACCAGGCGTCCAAAGGCTGCTCCTGCCCGCAGAAAAAAGCTGGGAGCAGGCACAGGACTCTCCCAGCACCCGACCCAGCCTCATGCCCTCTCCTCTACCCCAGAGCTGCTGGGAAGGGGACACTGGGGACATCCATAGGTATCTCCCGCTGTGCCTGCCTGGGGTATGGGTTCTCACCGATGACAAAGACAGGCATGAAGGCTCCGCAGGGCACTGGGATGGTGGTGGCCAGGGCTGACATCCAGAACTGTGTGGGGATGTAGACACACATCTTACTAGTTTCTGTTCCCCATCCCAGCCCTGCCTCTTGTCCCTGCCATGACCCACAGCTGGCTGGTGTTGTGCAACACATGGGCACTGCACTGTGCCATTGGACAGCCCCACTCCTCCCTGTGGGCACCTTGCCAGAACCTCCCTGGTGGCACCTTGGTGCCTCGCAGCCAAGATCTCTGATGGCATGTTGGAGCGCCCAGCCAACACCTGCATGGCCTCTGGGAGCAGCCACCCCGTGCCACCTTGCTGGCAACCATCTGGCACCTCCCTGGTGGCATCTAGGAGGCCCTCTCCAGAGCCTCCTGGTGGCACCTGAGGGCTGGCAGGGGCAGGAGGCACTCACCTTCATGAGGATGAAGACAACAAGGGTGACAAAGACATTGGAGCGGGGATGGTGCCAGGCCTCCAGGATGCCCAAGTATTCGAACTCGTTGCTGAGCCCTTGTTTGGCCCACGTTTGGTTATCGAAGAGTGTCACCAGGGTGTCCTTCTGGGTGAGCTGGTGATGGGCAGGCGTCAGCTGGGGCTGGCAGAGGCCCTGGGGTGGGGACCAGTGCGTCACCCTATGGCAGGTACCTGGCCGGCCATGAACTGTCCGAAGCCGGGTGGGAAGGTCAGCGTGGAGATGAGAAGCGTCACCAGGGCAGGGAAGAGCAGGCGCCTGGCAGGGTGGCATGGGGTGGGGGTGACCTTGGTGCAGCCCCAGCTGCACCACCCCAGTGCCAGGGACCGACAGGCACCTACTTCTTCATGAGGAAGCGGTTGATGGTCTTCTGCCGGCGCATGAACTGCACGATCTTGCGGTTGAGGTAGACGAAGAGCGCACCCCCAAAGCCGCTGGCGATCCTGGCCGGACGACATGTGAGTGCTTACCCAGTGCCACCACGGCCACTGACACCACCATCACCCCCTGCCAGCAATGCCTCTGCCGCCCCAGGGCCACGGCACAGGTGCCGGGGGGGCCACACTCACCCAATGACGGCGAAGGCAGGCAGCTCCTGCAGGTCGAAGGGGAAGTCCAGGCGGAAGCGGGTTTTGAACAGCGCCGTGATCGTCTCTGGAGGATGGCAGGGGTCAGGGGGCTTGGCAGGGTGACCCCCGCACCCCCCACCCCACCCCACCAGGGATACCTTCATCCTTGTTCCAGACAGCGAGAACACGGAAGATGAAGGCGCTGAAGGTGGCAGCAAAGAAGCCACGCCAGTAGTTGCGGACGGCGAAGAAGGTGGAGGTGACCTCGATGCTGAAGAGGACGCCTGGCACCGGGGGGAAGCGCACAAGGGAGACGGCGAAACCCAGGTGGGCCCCCGGTGCCTGGCATGCTTCCTGCCCTGAGCCCATGCTTGTGCTGGGTCCGCAGGGGTC